TATATTTTTTTTTTTTTTAAATTAGCGTTAAATTTGAGAACTGACCAAACTAAAATGAAATAAAATTGAAAGGAAAGAACATCATGCGGCAGGTTGCAGAGGGCAGGGCCAACAAATGTCTGCTAGCTTAATGCTAACCGATATGCGAAATGCCATAGACAGGCAAATGGAAATGAGCACGCATCGATTTTTACGGTCGTCCTGACCCTTCAAACAACCCTTCGCCAATTTTGTGGTGCAGCGCAACGACAAAGATTCAAATTGGAAAGCTTTCACGCACACGAGAGCAGCAACACACACAAACAACTCGCATTGGCATATATTTGTGTGTGTGTGTGTGTGTGTGTGCAGGATGCATGAAGAAGTCACGTAGCCGTGGGTTAGCAGCTTCAGTCGTAATTGGAGCTGACCACGAGTCATGCGGCGGAAACAACAAACTCCTCTTCCATTTCACCTCTTCACTTGCGCACGCATGCAAAGAGCGAGCGGGGTGTGTAAGTTCCCGTGGCGAGCTGATTGCTTTCCTCCTGCCAGAGCGAGCGGACCGCCACTCAATCTCCTTCCTCAACGTGTACTTGCTTTTTTTTTTTTTTTTTTTTTTTTTTTTTGCCGCCCCAGACGTTTACAAGCACTGCAATGAAATTTGGTTCGGCCGTTTATTTCAAGCGGTGGGCACTCGTGCCTCACCCGGTCGGAGGTTGCGGGTTCAAATCTGGCTGTCCGTTGGGTAGAAAGGAAAAGTTGTCCCGCGTTAGCGTGCCTGTCGATAAAATGTGACTCTATTCTTATTTTTTCAGTCCTTAACAGGGCGGCCCGGTGGGGCAGTGGTTAGCGCGTCGGCCTGACAGTGCAGAGCTCGTGGGTTCGATTCCGGCCTTCCTGTGTGGAGTTTGCATGTTCTCCCCGGGACTGCGTGGCTTTTCTCCGGGTACTCCGGTTTCCTCCCAAATTCCAAAAACATGCGTGGCAGGCTGATTGAACGCTCTAATTTGCCCCTCGGTGTGAGTGTGAGCGCAGATGGTTCGTCTCTGTGTGCCCTGCGATTGGCTGGCAACCGGTTCAGGGTGTTTCCCACCTACTGCCAGAAGACGGCTGGCAT